CGGCAGCAGCTAACAACACAACATGTTAAGAGAAGTAAGCACTGCCGGTTGCTGGTATCTGTAATCCCAGCTACTCAGGAGGCAGAAACCAGAGGATCAAGGTTCAAAGCCAGTCCTAGACAAGTAGTTCCTGGGACCCTATTTCAAGAAAAAAAAAAAAAAATCACAAAAAGAGCTGGGGGAGTGGCTCAAATGGTATGAGCACCTGCATAGCAAGCGTGAGCCAGTGAGTTCAAACCCAAGTACTGCAAAACAAAAGAGAAGCAAGCACTCTGGTGTGTATAGTTCCCTAAGGACACAGTTCTAAGTACTGACTTTTACTGATTCTGTGAATGTTATTTGCTTATGAGATTATAATTTTCATTTACACTTTTGCAGGTTTGGTCCTGACAGCTGCTTTTTTTTTTTTTTTTTAATTATAACTCATAGAAAACCAAATGGTTTCATTTATTAAAAATATCTTGAGGGGCTGGGGATTTAGCTCAGTGGAAGAGTTCAGTCCCCAGCCCCCCCCCCAAAAAATCCTGAGCTTGAAGTCAGCTTATAACCAAGCATTATTTTGTAAATAAAGTCTTTGTAGGAGCAGGAAAAAAAAAAACTACTGTGTGCTATGCCAGTACACGGTTTGGCACATACAGCCCATGGCCTCACCTGTTTTTCTAAATAAAGTTTTATTGAAACCCTACCATTCATTTGTGTACATAACTGTTTATGGCTTCTTTCATGCTATAAAGGAGGAGTTGAGTTGTTGAAACAGAAATTGCATGGCTCACATGCCCAGAACTGAATAGATGGCTCTTTACAGCAGGGTTTGTTAATCCCTGCTGTAATAGGCGGCTTATTTATTTCATTCCTGGGGACACCAGGATCACTTTGCCGCCACTGATGGTCTCTGCGGGTCAGACCATTCTGTCTGACCTTGACTCTTCATAGGCTTCTGTTGCCTTATCAGAGGGTATTTCCAAGTGGGCATGGTGACTCACATCTGTTAGTCCCGGCTATTTGGGAGATAGAGATGGGGAGAATCAGTAATGTTTGAGGCCAGACCAGGCAAAAACATCGTGACACCCCTGTCTCAGTCAATAGAAAGCTGGGCATGGTAGCTTGTGCCTTTCTTCCTAGCTATGTGGGAAGCATAAATAGTAATACAGTCCAGGCCAGCTCAGGTTAAAAAAAAAAAAAAGTGAGACCCTATTCCAAAAATAAGGAAAGTACAAATGGTCTGGGGACATAGTTGAAGTGGTAGAACACATGCTTAGCAAGTGCAAGGCAGTGAGTTCAAAACCCCAGTAAAACACACACACACACACACACACACACACACACACACACACACACAGACACACGAAAGGAAGAAGGAAAGGAGGCAAGGAGAGGAAGAAAGGGAGAGAGGGAGGAAGGGAGGAAGGAAGAAAGGAAAGGAGGAAGAGAGGGAGGAATTGACATTTGAATTCTGATCTTCTGGGTTCTCTTCATCCCCATCGATCAGGGACCTCATCTCAATGATGTCGCCAATACTCATCACTGGCCTATAGAGAACAACCACAGAGCTTTTCAGAGATGGAGGGTCTCCCTTCATTTACCTATTCCCCCTCCCCTTTTTATTTGAGACAAGGCCTTCCTATGTAGCCCAGACTGGCCTCAATCTCACATCCTCCTGCCTCATCCTCCCAAGTGGTGAGATTACAGACGAGCTACTCAACTATTTCTGAATTGGTGTCTTCTAGGCCCTTACCATATGTTGATGGAGGAGGCTGGGGATATCACAAATGATAAATCCCATGCCCATTCCTGTGCTTTTAAGGTTCCCTCCTTCACATGCCTGGGAGTCTCTGCCATATAAGCCTTGTCAACTGTAGGTCACCACTAAGTCCAAGGGTCACTCCTCTAGGTTAGTAAGCTGTTGGAACCATCCCCAGGTCCTCGAGCTAATATAGCAGATCTAGAATATTAAGTAAATGCCATGATGGCAACAAACTTGGCGCAGTCTAGTCTAATCTACACTCCTTAGTCTAACATCCTTACAGTATATCCATATGCCTTCCTGGATTTTTCTGCTGTAAGTATTACTAGAAATGGATTGTTTATTGTGTGAGGAATTGGCTCTTGTATTGTTTTACGATATGTTTGTTCCCCTGGGTTTTGCACTAGTTACGATGGGTGACAGCCGTGAGTGGCTTTCATAGCTCTGCAGGTAAATGAGCTTGCCCTGCCTAGGTGTCTGCCCAAGTGAGGTTAGCCCAGGGTTTTCAAGCAGAGGAGGCTAGGCTCCTGAAAGATCACAGGGAGTGTCCTGGGGCTTTAAGAGTGTGACTTTCATTTGGGTCTCTCCAGCTGTCCCTATTGTATGTTTCATGCTCTCATTCCTCCCTGATTGTGTTGTAGATTTTACTTTTACTTTTTGTGGCATCAGGGATCAATCCTAGTGCCTCACACATGCTAGGCGAGTGCTGTGCCACTGAGCTATACCTCCAACCCTGTTTTATTTTCTTTAAGACAGAGCTTCACTACTTTTCTGTGTGGTCTTGAACTTATCATCCCCTTGCCTCAGCCTCCTGAGTAGCTGGAATTACAGACATGCCACACCACGCCCAGCTTGTATTATAAATTTCAAACTTCCTATTCTCCTGATGCCTCACTATCACTTACCTAAGGTGGTCGGGTAACCTGCCACAGATTGTCCTTATTGCCTTTCCCTGTCAGTGACCTATTGATTCTCAAAGGCACTAACGGAATCCCCTCATAACTTATGCGTGTGTACTCCACCCAGACCCCAGGAAAGACCTGAAAGAAACAATTTAAAGGCTTCATAGGTTCAGTCTGTGGTCCGTTGGCCCCATTACTTTAGGAGCCTGAGGTGAGGCTGAACATCATGGTGGCAGGAGTGTATGATGGACAAGGCTGCTCACCTCATGGCAGCCAGGAAGCAGAAAGAGGGAGAGAGAGAGAAAGAGAGACACACACACAGGAAGGGGCAGGGACAAGATATCCCTTGAAAGCCAGTGACTGACTTCTCGCAATCCGGCTCCACCTCTGAAAATTTCCCTCTCCCAGTAACGCCATCAAATTATGAATCCATAAAATGGGTTAATTCATTGATGAGGTCAGAGCCCTCCTGATTCAGTCACTTCCCATTTCTCAAAAGCCCCACCTCTGAACATGTTGAATGGGGACCAAGCCATTAATATGGGAGCCTTCTGGGGGGACATTCCAGATCCAAACACTAACAACACCCACAGATGTCCATTCTGGGGCTGAGGTGAACTCAGTGGTTGAATTCTTCCTGGGTCTTCACTGCCTTGAGGTCCTCTGCAGGACATGCTTTCCCTTCCCCTCTAGGACCTATGAGTATAATAAATATGTAATTTCATGTGCCTTGAGTGCAGTGCCCTTGGCCATGTCAGAGTGATCTGTAAGAGTTCATGAAGGAGACTTACTCCACTGTTTATAATACACTCATCAGTGCCCTGGCTTTCACAGGAGAAAACAGGAGAGACTGGCATTTACTGTAGTTGTAATTTAATTTAACCTGTTCAGTGAAATTTCACATTTGACTTTTTTTTTTTTTTTGATGGTACTGAGGGGTTTGAACTCAGAGCTTCACACTTTGCTAAGGAGGTGTTTTACTGCTTGAACCATGCCTCTAGCCCTTTTTGCTCTGGTTACTTTTCAGATAAAGTCTCGCTTTTTGTCCAGGAAATCCTGGACTGTGATCCTCCTATTTATCTTTCCCTCAGTAGCTAAGATGACAGGCATGTACCACTGTGCCCAGCTATTGGTTGAATGGGGCTTGGTAACTTTTTGCCAGGGCTGGCCTCCAACTGCAGTCCTCCCAATTTCCCTTTTCTACGTAGTTAGAATTACAGTGGGAGCCACTGGCTCCTGGTATGGTTATTATTAGCATTTTTGTGTACAGAATATGTCCTGTGTGTTTTTTTTTTTTTTCCAGTACTGGGTTTGAACTCAGGGCCTCATACTTGCTAGACAGACACTCTACCATTTGAGTCACTCCACCAGCCCTAGCTGTAGGATTTTTTTGAGGGTGAATTTGGTTCATGGCTAAAGAACTGTGGGACTTTCATAGGGTTGTCATCATTAGAATTCCATTCTATACATCACTATTTAGGCTGATTTATTAAAAATTGTCACTGATTTTTTTTTTTTTTTGGTGGTACTGGGGTTTGAACTCAGGGTTGTCACCTTGAGCCACTCCACCAGCCCTAATTTTGTGATGGTTTTTTTTTCAAGATAGAGTTATGCAGACTAGTTCCTCAGCTAGCTTTGAACCACCAATCCTCCTGATCAATCTCTACCTCCTGAGTAGCCAGGATTATAAGCATGAGCCCCTGGCACCCAGTCTTCCCCAGCATCCTAAAGAGCAAATATAGGCCAGACAAGGTGGTTCACACCTGTAATCCTAGCTACTTGGGAGGCAGATACCAGAGGATCACAGTTTGAAGCCAACTCAGGCAAAAAGTTACTGAGACCCCATCTTAACCAATAGCTGGGCACGGTGATATGTGACTGTCATCCCTAGCTACTGCAAGATCCAGGCCAGCCCAGGCAGAAAAGTGGAAACCATATCTTAAAGAGCAAAAAGGGCTAGAGATATAACTCAAGCAGTAAAGCACCTGCCTAGCAAGTGAAAAGCCCCAAGTTCAAACTCTAGCAACCAAAACCAAAAATAAAATCTTGGTGCTGTGACAAGGTGTTTCTCTGAGAAGACCCATAAAGTAGATAAAGGTTGCGCAAACTATGACTTGACTTTGACCCTGTGCGAAAGAGAGGGGGGCTCTGTATAACTCAGTGGGTCAAAGGTGAGATAGCTAATGTTTATGTCCCTTTTTGGCCATCATTTTGTCCCCAAACCCATTTTGAATGTTGGTGCTTTATGTGAGTGTGTGTATAGGACACATTCTTCTTACCTGCTTGAATTTTCCCCTACTAACACTAATGAAGTAGTATATCAATTATTTTGTTATGTTTCTATCATCTCACAGGACTTGGGGATCTTTAAAGGACAGGACGTTTTCTGTGTGTGTCCCTGCTCTGCTTGTGCCTACAATAGCAACAGGACTTCCTAATTATTTGCAGAAAGACTCAAAGACTAAGCCAGACCTGAAATAAACTTCCAGTGCCCACAGTACACAAAATAAAAACAGGTAAAGTTATTTGTAATAGTATATTTTATTTTATCCTATACATTGAAAATATTTCAATACATGATCCATAAACAATTTGAAATATTTACATTCTTTTCCTGATAATGGGCATTTAAAATTCACAGGACACTATAGTTTGATCAGATGTACTTCATTTGTGTATCTCATAAAATCAGTAGTTTAAAAAGGTTCAGAGCTGGGGGCCAGTGGCTCATGCTTGTAATCCTCCTTACTCAGGAGACAGAGATTAGGAGGATCACAGTTCAAAGCCAGCCCTGGCAAATAGTTTGTGAGCCCCTATCTGGAAAAAAACCCAAAACACAAAAAGGAGGGAGCTGGTGGAGTGGCTCAAAGTGTAGGCCCTGAGTTCAAACCCAGTACTGCAAAAAAAAAATTCTTTTAATTACTAAAGAAAAAAAAAAAGAATTCAGAAAGCCCCTGGTAATGAGCAAAGCAACACCTCATTGGTGGTGTTGCTCTTATATCAGTCAAGGGCAGAGCAGATGACAGTCCTTTGTTCATCCTAGCTTGGTACCTGGGTTGGTGTGCCTAGGGCACATTAAAAAGAAATTTGAGAAACTAGGGGTATTGCTTTGTAGTAAGACACATGCTTAGCATGCATGAGACCCTGGGTTCAAGTCCCCATATACACACACAAGGTAGATCAGATATGCAGGTTAGCCCTAGATGTGGTGGCACACACATATAATCCTAGCATTTAGGAGGCGGGTGCAGGAGGATGGAGAGTTCGAGGTCAGTCTGACCTTATCTAAAAAACAATTAAGAAAAAAGTTTGGAATAACTTGCATATCTGGTTTTATTTATTTGCTTTTTTGAGAAAAAGTCTTATTATGTAGCCCTGGTTGGCTTCTAACTCAAAATCCTCCTGCACTCAGCCTTCCAATGCTGGGATTACAACCATGCACCACCATGTCCAATACCAAACATAATTATCCAGTTATCCCATGTACATAAGAGATGATCGTAACACTGAATTGTGCCATGTGGGTCTTGACTGTATTCTGGTCATGGAGGAAGTGATATGAATCACAGAAGACCAGGCTTTTAGGACAAACTTAGCTTTGTCAAGTCCTGCTTTACACTAGCAAGCGGGTGATAGTGTGTCTGAGTGTACTTCATTCAGTACTTCAGTATGGGTAGTGCTGTCTACTGTGTTAATTACGTGAGCTTTCGTATGTAAAGCACCTTGTGACACATTCCAGTCCTTGGCAAATGTCATTCGCAAGTGTCATAAATGAGTAGTATATGATTTTCAATGGGCTTGTGGGCATGACCTACAGAGTGTATGTGGTGTTTGATGACTGCTGTTCAATGACATTGATCAATGGTTGCTGTGAACAGGACTCCATGTACCCTGTATAGAGAGGAATGGAGATTGCCTCTGGCCACTTCAGTTGCTAAGCTGTCCTGCGGTGGTTCTGGCACAGGGAAGGGAGTGTTGAGGCCCATCTGCCCGTCAGCATCACAGCATGGCAGCCATTGATCTGTCCCATGGTGAGTGCTCCTCATGCTGTCCTGCATGATAGGGTCCAACAGGCAGTGCTTGGCAGTCCTGTTGCTGGTTCTTTCAGGGACCCACGATGCTGGTTTATGGTTTATAATTCAAGCTTCCGTGTAAGTTTTCGGAAGAAGTGCTTTGTAATCATGAGTTCTGTTACCTTTTGCCACGTTTTTGAGGGCTTAAGTTTCTTTACCTATAATGTGAGAGTATCGCCCTCTCCCCAGGAGGCACACGGCTCATGGTCTGGTTCTCTGGCTCCGGGTAACACATGACGACTGGCTTTTCACCACAGCATTATGTATTTTTGTGGTTTTAGGAGTGAGCACGGTTGTAGGGGATTTCAAGCTAGGGCGGTTTGACTTCATGACACGTGACTGTGTGAACTGTGGCCAGTCCTGGGTTCTGACTCCTTCTTTCTTTTCTACCAGACTTTGTTTCTCGAGAGCCAGTCTGCTTTTATGAAGAAGAGACAGATGTAGAAAGGATGGTGGTTGACTGCCAGGCAAACTGTTACCAGGTAAAAAGAAAGGGTATCATGCAAAGTGAAATTCTTCCATCCCCGAGCTAGACACATGTCCTTCTAGACAGACTCGTCTCCAGAGCTTTCAAAGGAATACAGCGCCACTCAAGGCCTGAGTCCCTAGTTGGATTTCCCCTGGGGACTCGGCCTTAGATTGGTGAAGTGTTACTTTGAAGGTCATCCTTATATTTCAGTAATTTTTTTGTGGTGCTGGGGATTGAACCTAGGTAAGCCCTCTACCACTAACTACACCCCCACACTTACTAATTTTTTTTTTCCTTTGAGACAGGGTCTGGCTGTATAGCTCAGCCTGGAACTTGTCATGTAGCCCAGGCTGGCCTCAGCCTCCTGAGTGCTGGGATTATAGGCGTGTGGGACCACACCCAGTTCCTACTAATTAATCTTGAGCCTCATGGTGATGGGTGCATGTTTCTTATTTTGCTGAGTGTCTTGACAGTTGGTCAGGCAGCTAAAAGTGTCCTTTTTTCAAAGGACTTATTCATGCACATTTATCTACGGTGTGCTCAGGGATGTGCTGCAGTAGGTAAGAGGGGGTCCCAGCCTGGTTGTGCTGCTACAAGTTCATATTTATGCAATACTGGTAAAGGCGGAGGACAGTGGGAGGTGAAGAGCGAGTGAACATAGAGAGAAGCGCTCCCAGGACTGTTGACCCCTGAAGATGGGTCAGGGAAGTGTCAGAATGACAGGTAGCTATTAGGTCCCCTTCCTCGTTCTTCCTTGAGCACTAGTAGAACTGTTACTTGGCTCAAACCTGCGTGCATGCAACCATTTAGGATTCAGTGACCTTCAACGATGTGGCTGTGGAGTTCACCCCAGAGGAGTGGACTTTGCTGGACACAACTCAGAGAAACCTCTACAGAGAAGTGATGGTGGAGAACTATGAGAACTTGGCTGCAGTGGGTAAGGCTGCCCTCACTTCCTTGACCTGTCATAAAACAGATGTGCCTTACATGCTTATTACTGTGTTAGAGAATTAGTCATGCCAATTCTGAATGCAGTGGGAAATAACAGAGACACAATGGCCCCCAACTCATGATCCTGCTGTCTTAGCCTCCCAAGTGCTGGGATTACAGGTATCACCACCATGCTCAACAAAGTAGAGTCACTTTTGTCAATATTTTTATGTGTGTGGTGCTGGGGATTGAACCTAGGGCCTTGACCATGCTAGGCAAGCATTTTACCACTAAGCTACACCCTAGCCCTTTGAATAGGTTGTAGTGCTTTGTAAATGTGTTTATCAGCTTACATTTGGCTTCTAGGAGTTAGAGATGATCAGTCCTTTGGGGACAGAAATGGGGGTATTTGCTTTTTTTTTTTGGTGGTGCTGGGGAATGAACCCAAAGCCTTACACATGCTGAACAGGCACTCCACTTATCCTCAGTCCCTGGTATTTGTATTTTTACCCATTTTGAAAGAATTTCATTGTATCTGCAATTTCCTGAGTCCTAGGAAGGTTTGTCATCTCTTCTGTGAGCCTCTTCCATTCACTTCCCTTTTTACCTGTGCAGGATATCAAGTCTACATACCTAGTCTGATCCCCTGGTTAAAACAAGAAGAATTTGGGACAGTAGAAAATGGAGTTCTTCAATGTGAGTATTTGTGAACACTCTACTTGATGAATTGGGTATGGTTTTGCAACTATAATGAAATGTACTTGAGATGTACTTTCTCTCAAAATTGAAGCTGTTTTTCTCACATTTTGAGATACCTTCAACTTTTCATAATCTATTACTTTGGGTCCTCAAACATTCCTGTGATTTTATGAAACTACACATTCTGCTCCCTGCTTAAGAGATTCATTGTTTGCAGTTTTTCCTAATAATCTTCACTTTCATTTTTTCTTTTTTTTTTTTTTGGTGGGACTGGTGTTTTAACTTCGGGCTTCACGCTTGCAAAGCAGGCACGCTACCACTTGAGTCACGCCTACAGTCCAATTTGCCCTGGTTATTTTGGACATGGGGTTTCATGAACTATTTGCCTAGGCTGGCCTTGAATCTCAGTCCTCCCAATCTCAGTCTCCCAAGTAGCTAGGATTACAGATATGAGTCACTGGCATGTGGCTTCATTTTAAGTTTTATAGAACCAGTTTGTATGAAACTATCTAAAATGTTGATCCTCCCCCAACTGTGTCCTTATTATTTATTTTTTTTAGTGCTGGAGGTGGAACCCATGCCTTGTTCATGCAAAGCAAGTGCCCTACTACTGAGCTACACCCCCAATCCTACTGTCAATTTTTTTTGTGTGGGTGGTACTGGGGCTTGAACTCAGGGCCTTCACCTTGAGCCACTCCACCAGTCCTATTTTTGTGATGGCTTTTTTTTTTTAATTCATTTATTCACATGTGCATACATTATTTGGGTCATTTTTCACCCTGCCCCCTTGTGATGGCTTTTTTAAGATAGGGTCTCCCCAGCTATTTGCCCAGGCTGGCTTTGAACGATGATTCTCCTGATCTCTGCCTTCTGAGTAACTAGGATTACAGGTGTGAACTACTGGTGCCCAGGTTATTGTCAGATTTTTGACAGAACAAAGTCCTCAAATCTCTCTATGCTTTTCCTTATTTCTTTTCTTTTCTTTCCTTATTCTTTTCTTTTTTTCTCCCTCCTTTCCTTCCTTCCTTCATTTAGAGACAGGATCTCTCTATATAGCCCAGACTAGCCTCAAACCTGCAATCCTAGTGCCCCAGCCTCCCAAGTGCTAGAATTACAGGTGTGCGTTACTATGTCTGCCTTGCTGTTTTTCTTATCATGTTTAATCTGAAAACAAGGACAAATGACCCTTACTAGTCTTAACTACTACCTACCATTTATTTCTTTTAACTCTTATATTTCTCTTTCTGTTTAGCTTCAGAATTGGAACTACAACCTAGTATCTATGGGTCAGAGCCTCAGAATTATTTTAGGATGCAAACTTCCAGTGAAATACAAATGGTAAGATCACCTAGGGGATAGCTTTTTATTTCCCAGTCTCAGAAAAGATCAGGAATTTCTTGTGGGAAACCAGCGTGAGTGAGAGAGATTTGAGAGAAGTTGTATGCACCAACAGGGATGGATGCCTCTGGAAAGGTTCTGAATATCATGAATTTGGAGATGCCACAAACTTGTTGTGATGCTGATGTCTCATAGTTCCCACAAACACATGTTCCGCACATGTGTCACTCAGCTGGAATGAAAATTATGAACAACCTGATGTCAATCTACAATCTTTTTACAAGTAGAGTAAGTGGTAAAGGATCCATCATTCAGTATGAAAGAAATGAGGTTAGGAAATCAGTGTTTATCATGGAAAATGTAACAGTCATAATGACTGTGGAAACATTTCTGTCTTCAGACGGGTAAAGTGTATTTATATGTCTGAGAAATTCCTTAATTCTCATTCATCCCTTCCTCAACAGGTAAGAGGCTACAACGGAGGGGGACCATGTGACTATAAGCCATGTGAAGAAGTCTTGAGTGGACAGTTATGCCTTAACACACCCATGGAAATGGAGAATCAGAGATACACTTCTGAGTGTAATTGGTATGGAAAAGACATTCTTACTTTGCTCAAGGAAACCTCTTCTGGACAGAACTTGCCTGAGTTTAATCAGTGTGAAAATATCTTCAGCCTGACTCCGAATATTGCATGCCAGAGAACTCATGCGAGCGAGAAACCCTTTGAATGCACAGACTGTGGGGAGGCATTTTTCAATCAGTCATACCTCCCAGCAGATATGAGGACTCACAACACAGGAGAACCCTACGAATGGAATAAATATGGGAACGAATTCATTCACTCCACAAGCCTTGCTATGCATCTGCCCATTCTCAATGCAACAAACCCTTACAAATACGAGGAGTATGAAAAGGGCTTTCAGTATTTTGCATGCCTTAATAATCCCATGGGAATCTGCACTGGAGAAAAACTCTGTGATTGCAAGGAATGCTGGCGAGCCTTCACGGTTTCCTCCCACCTAACTCAGTATGTAACAATCCACACAGAGGAGAAATCCAAAATATGTAAGGAATGTGGGAAGTCATTTGCTAATTTTTCTCGGCTTTCTGCACATATAAAAACTCATAGTCGAGAAAAGCCTTTTGTATGTAAGGAGTGTGGGAAGTCCTTTAAAAATATCTCCTACCTTAATGATCATGTTCGAATTCACACTGGAATAAAATCCTACAAATGTATGGAATGTGGGAAAGCTTTCCTTCGGTGGTCAGGCCTTACTGAACACATCCGAGTTCACACTGGAGAGAAACCTTACGAATGTAAGGAATGTGGAAAAACCTTTTCTAGATCTACTCAGCTCACGGAACACATAAGAACTCACACTGGAATCAAACCCTATGAATGTAAGGAATGTGGGAAAGCCTTCACTCAGTACTCAGGCCTTGCTACCCATGTACGAATTCATAGTGGAGAGAAACCCTTTGAATGTAAGGAGTGCGGGAAGGCCTTCACCAGGACCTCGGGCCTGATTCACCATGTGAGAACTCACACAGGAGAAAAGCCTTTTGAATGTGTCCACTGTGGGAAAACCTTCATTACTTCCTCCCATCGCACTAAACATTTGAAAATTCACAGTGGAGAGAAGCCCTTTGTGTGTAATATATGTGGGAAAGCATTTATATATTCCACGTCTCTTAACATTCACATGCGAACCCATACTGGAGAGAAACCCTACATCTGTAAGGAGTGTGGCAAAGCCTTCGCTGTTTACTCACGCCTTAGGAAACATGCAAGGGTCCACACTGGGGAGAAGCCCTATGAATGTCAGGGTATGGGTGTAGCTATTTAAATCATCAGTTACCACCTTGTGAAATGTTGACAGTGACACCAAAGATCATCAGATTAGTCTTAACTGCCTTGTGTGGGTCAGACTGCCCTTAGAGTCCATCCTGATACATACATAGATCCTTCTGGAACTTTTTTTGGGTTTTTTTGGTAGTGCTGGGGATAAAACCCAGGGCCTCACACATGCTAGGCAAGTGCTCTACCACTGAGCTACATTCCTGGCTCCTCCTTGAAACCTGTTTACACTTATCTGAGTCTTGAGTACTTGGGGGTCATAGGTGAAGTCAGTACTATAAGCACTGGTGCTTAGGCTCTTAGTGAATGTAGCGTTACTCAGTGCTGATCAGATAAGCGAAGCAGATTTGGTCCTAACCTTTGTTGGTTAGTGGCTGCCAGTGTGGCCTATTGTGTGAAAGTTCACCAGAAGCCAAGATGACATGGGACACAAGGACTGTTGAAAGAGACTCCTCCAGGCATCTCTGACTACATTGATCCTGCTGAGCATGCCAAGGAAACTGTCCACCCGTCCTTAATAGCTAGTCCAAATTTTCAACCAGTTATCCCTGTGTCCTTCTTATAAAACTCAAGAATTACATTCTGTCCCACCTTCTGAGCCCATTTTGGATCTAAGTGGCTATGTCTCTACTGGTCCAATCCAGTCTCTATTTCTCCTTCTGTTGAGACTGCTTAGGCAGTCCATGGGATTCCTGCCCTGACTGCTTTACCACATTGTGGTTCAGCCACAATTTCCTCCTCTTCTTTACTACAGGTCTCTCAGTTTTTGCAATACTGATAGGGGAACTTTACAACCGTCCAAGTTCTGGTTCTTTTTGCTTAACAGTTCCTTCTGCAACACTTTAATGACAAATCTCAGATAAGTTCCCAATTTTATAATTTCCAACTACTTCTGCAAAATGCTAGAATACAGTTCTGCCAAGTTCTTTCTACCACTGCATATCAAGGATTGCCTTTTCTCCATTTTCCAGTAACTTGCTTCTCATTCCCAAGTGAGACCTCACCAGAGTAGTCCCCACCCATTACTCAGTTTCCAATCTGCTTGCACATTTTGGGGTAATTTTCATTGCAGTACCCCAATACCAAGTCTGTGATATTGAGCTTATGCTGCTGTGACAAAATACCACAGACCAAGTGGCTTAAAAATTCATTTTATTTTGATATATAAAATTTAAGGCTGAGAGGTTAGCTCAGTAGTACAGAGCTTGCCTAGTATTTGCAAGTACAGCAAAATAAATAAAAATTTAAAAAGTAAAATATGCAGAACTTTATATTCTCACTTTCTGGAGGCTGGAAGTCTGAGATGAGGAATACCACGTGGTTGACTTCTGGTGAGGGCTCTCTTCCTGGCATGCAATTGCCTTTTCTCTTCATGCTGTTTCCACATGATGGAAACAGAACTTGGTCTCTCTCTCCCTCTTTTGATAAGGTCACAGCCCTCTTGGATTAGGTCTCCACCCTTTTTTAATCAAATTTATCCATAAAGGAGTATTCTCCACAGTCACCTTGGGGTTTAGATTCTACGTACAAGCTTTGGGGGTCATGAGTTCAGGGCACGCATGTACAGGTTTTGTTGTTTTCCATACACAATCATCTGTAGATCATGACTGTTATTTTTCTACTTCAGTTGTTTCTTTGCAGGAATGCATATAATGTCTGACACAGTCATGACTAAAAGTAGTAAAAGCAGCATGGTTTTCTTCAAAATTCTAATGACACATGCTCTTCATTTTATTGACATGTATGCCATAGGTTATTTTTTTAATAGCCAAATACCTCTAAAGGTTTTTCATTTTAATACCCAGTCTTTGCATAAGATCTTCCCAAATGTCCTAATTTGTGAAGCTGAACTCCTTTTGGGTTTATAGATTGCTTTCCCTGCATCCTCTGTGATGATCACATTCTTTACTGATAATTCTCAAGAACCTAGAACTGTAGCTGGTGCATAATGCCCATAAATACTTGAAGTGAGTGAAAACAATTGCAAATGTGGTCACACGTTGCTTATTATTGCTATTTATTGGCTTTCTAATGTTAACTTTGCATTCCTAGATACACTCAACTTGAACATAATAGATCATTATTGGTTTTGTTTTGTAGGGCTAGGCATTAAACCCAGGGCCTCCCATATACTAGGCAAGCACTCTGCTGAGCTACCACTCCAGCCCCATGGACATGTTTTTAATACCTAACTTGATTATGTTAACTAGCATTATAGAAGCTTTTCATAGCTATGTTTGAGTAACATTAGCATGTAATTTTTCTTATATATGATAAAAAAATAAGGCTGGGCGTATAGCTCAGGGAGAGTGCACAGTTAGCATGCACAACACCCTGGGTTCCATCCCAGCACCATCAAAATAAAAATGAGCTGAATGGTATTTAGATGTAGAAGATGACAGTGTTATATCCTGGACTGAGATGTAGTCCCACCTTTCCTAAATTCTAACCTATATACTTGTTAAATGACCCTGAACTAGACTAACTCTTACTGTTCTAGGTGCCCTTCTATAATGATTTTAAGCTCTTTGTTCAATTTATTTTATGATTATAGAGTAACTAAGGTTTCCAATATCATGTTAAACATTTGGAGTATATTTTCCAAAGCATGTTTTCATTTTCACTGTATAGCAAAAATTTATATATTTTCTTATATTTTTAATGTTCCTGGTTGTATAATTAAACTTACTTTGGGTCTCTTGCATTCTACAATGATTCTTTGTGCATTCTTTTTTTCCCTTATGTTAATCTTGGCAGATAGTATTCAGTGTTAGGATTTCTTGCAAAGATTGTTTTGAAAGCAGGCATAGTGGTTCACACCTGTAAATCCAGCACTCAGGAGGCTGAGGCAAGATCAGGAGTTGGAGGCCAGCCTGGGCCACACAGAGAGACCTTATCTAAGAAAAGACAAAAACCAGGTATACCCAAAGATGGAGTTGGGACCTAGTAAGTGGTTTGAAAAAAAAAATTGTTTTGAAAATCTTAAATTTTCTTTTTTTTGTGTGTATGTGGTCCTGGGGCTTGAACTCAGGGTCTACACCTTGAGCCACTCTGCCAGCCCTTTATTTGTGGAGGGTTTTTTTTGAGATAGGGTCTTTCAAACTATTCACAGAGGCTTGTTTCAAACCGAAATCCTCTGATCTCTGCCTCTGGGTTGCTAGGATTACAGGGATGAGCCACTGGTACCAGCTCTGAAAACTTTAAACTTTCTAATGTTTTCTATTCCAGTGATTCTGTTAGATATCAACTTGCTGTTCTTTTATTTCGTAGACTTTTGGTACTATTTGTAGATGTGTATTTTTGGGGGGAGAAGGGATGCTAGGTGTCAAACCTAGGGCTTTGTGCATGCTAAGCATACCCTCTTACCACTGAACTACACCCTAGCCCAGATGTGTCTTTTTATACATACTTAAGTTGGAGTTCAAAAACATCTGAATACTTGAAAAATCCCAACTAACAATCCTTTTCCCTTAAACATTTAGTCCATTATGTATAATATAATTAGTAATAAATTTGGATTAATTTCTCATGTCTTTTTTCCTGTATTTGTCTCATTGTTCTCCTCTTTTTGTAGTGATACTTTTTATTGAAATCATGTTCCCCTCAGTGCTTGAAATTTACATAGTCCGTTACTTTTATTTTAGTTGCTATCCTTAACCATTAAATCCAGTTTTTAAATTTAAGTGTTGTTAATACTTTTTTTTCTAACTAAGTGAACTAGACTATTTGCATACAGGTTCCCATTCTACACCTCCTGAGGATCACATGGGCAGACACTCAGGGGTAAGTGCATCCTTACACAAGACACTGAACAGTGGAAAAAAGAATGGGCCCCTTGATGAAGACCAGCATATCTTGTGATAGGTTACAGACAGCCCCAGATGCCTTGAGTTTACCCACATCACATTTGCAATTTGAAGCTGAATGAGGTGGTACACTGCTCTAATCCACTTGGGAGGCTAAGGCAGGAGGATCAAGAGTTTCAAGCTGGCTGGGCACCAGTGACTCATGCCTGTAATCCTAGCTACGCAGGGGGATTCAAAGCTAGCCTGAGCAAATAGTTCTCAAGACCCTATGTCGAAAAAAATCACAAAAAAGAGCTGGTGGAGTGGCTCAAGTGGTAAGAGCTCCTACATAGCAAGTGTGAGGCCCTGAGTTCAAATCCCACGCTGCCAAAAAAAGAAAAGGTTGGACACAGTGACTCATACATGTAATCTCAGCTACTCAGGAGGCAGAGATTGAGAGGATTCTGGTTCAAGGTCAAAATGAGCAAAAAGTTACTGAGACCACATCTTAACGAATGAAGCTGGGCATGGTGTTGCAGGACTGAGATCCCAGCAACAAGCAAGGCATAAGTAGGATGATTGGGGTCCAGATGAGCCCAGTTAAAAACATGATACCCTATTTGAAAAATAAGTAAAGCAAAAAGGGCAGGGGGTTTTGGCTGAAGTGGTAGAGAGCCGGCCTAGCAAGTGCAACCTCTAGTTCAAACACCAGAACCCCCCCCAAAAAATATATGTGCATATATATATATATATATATATATATATATATATATATATAAATACACACACACACACACACACACACGCACGGTAGGGATGGCATCTGTTCCTTCCCCTTCTGTGTGTGCTGGTCTTGTGACTTGCTGTTTTCAGCTACTAACTGCGTTTTGTTTGTTACATGTAAAAGCCAACTGATACACTCTTTGGCAAACAACATGATAATACAGTTCTTCATACCATATTAGGGGAAGATCCATAATCAGGCTTTTTTTTTTTTTTTGGTACGGGGGCTTGAAGTCAGGGCGTTCACCTTGAGCCACTTCACCAGCTCTATTTTTGTGAAGGGTTTTTCCAGATAAGGTCTCTCGAACTATTTGCTACGGTTGGTTTCGAACCTAGATACTGCCTCCTGAGTAGCTAGGATTACAGGCGAGAGCCACTGGCACCCAGCACCAGGCTCATTCTTGTCAGCAGTGAAACTTTGTCAAGTGATCCTGGAGGAACTGGACATCTCCCTGTAACCTGAGATGGGAAAAAATGATTTGAGCTCATCTTACTCTGCTTAGGATCCCAGGGCCCTCAGCAGGATGGAGAAAAGACTGAGTGGGCTGCAAGGGTTAGGAGAATCCTAAGACATGCAGAAATTAATTCCAGTGATTCCGCAAATCACCTTCAGACCCCTCTAACGTCTCAGATTTCTTCCACTGGCCTGTAAACCTGTTAAAATAGACGAAGAAAGGAAGGGTGTGTTTGGAAGCACCCAGAATGGCTGTAACTAACTGAAAATAACGCTTCCAATGCCATCCACAGGCCCACAGAATTGATCGTGGGAGGAAGTCTGCCATCCACTGCCTACTAAATTCACCAGTTGGTCAGAGCAAGGGTTCCAGGAACATGGAGGAAGGCAGGTAGAAAAGCTTTTGATGAGCGCAGGCCTGTAATCCCTGTCCTCAGAACGTGGAGATTCTCCAGCTGGATGTCAGCCTGTGGCTACCCAGCAAATTCTAGGCCAGCCTGAGCGAGACTGTGTCTCAAAAAAAGCAAAAAGAAAACAAACCAAAAAATATTTTTGATGAGCATCCTGTGAGGTGAACCCCCACCACCAACCCTGCAATTCAAACCCAAGCTGAGAGCTGGGCTGGAGGACTGGTTCATGAAGTACCGCGGTTACCCCGCGAGCAGGGGGCAGAGGAGCACAAGCTTCCCCGCCCCCACGCCGGTTCTAACCACAATTTATTGCTTTGGGCCTCTTTTGACCTTCAGCTCCTGCCTTGAACTACCTCCAGGGAAAAGAAGGGATGGCATGGAACAAGGTACAATTTCTGCCGTAAAATAGTCAACTTGGATGAACCCCCAGACTGCGGAACCCTGCTGCGTAGCTACGCCTCGCAGACTACGAGACCGCGAGCGGAAGTGACGTCAGCGGACCCACGCCGTCGCTTCCGGCCACCGCACCGCCGTTCTCAGACTTTTCACCTTCCGAGTGGCGGCGGCCCCTCAGCTGTAGTGAGCTCCGCGTCTCAGGACGGCTTGGGGCGCAGCGAGGTGCTGGAGGACGAGTTTGGCCCGGCCGCCCAGGGGCGGGTCCGAGAGGCCGCCGGCGCTGTGGGTCCTCGGGAGCGGCGGGCGGGAGGTGCTCCGAGGCTCGTTCTGCGCGTCCCGCTTCAAAGGCGCCGGTGCGACCTGATTGTTTTTTGCCGAAGGAAACGAGTTTCCGCTGTGGGTGCTCCGCGTCCCAGACGTGGCGATTCCAGCGCCTTGTGGTGAGCTCCACTTAGTGAAAGGCGGTGGGAAAGGCCCCCACCCCCAAAAAAATCATAATAGGACTGGGGGCGTGGCGCCTGTCTACGAAGTGCAAGGCGCCGAGTTCAAATGCCTGTACCGCCAAAAAAATAGAAACGAAATCTTCAGTCGTGGTTTTGGCTTTGCCTTGTTGGGTCGTATTTAATTTGGACCATTACTTCTGGTTAGAAAAAGATGCTTTCTTAGGTGTCTAGATTGTGCATTTTTCTCTATGCGAATATAAACGTTTGGAGGCTGCAAGTCTCAACTCAAAGCCAAGAATACTGACATACTTTAGCATCTAAAGATCCTAGGCCTGTGCTCCATCTAGTTTTTCCTTGTTTTCGTGATGCTAGGAACCGAACCCAGGACCCTGTGCATGCTAGGCACATTTTCTCCTTCTAGAGGTCCTAGGCCTTGGGCTGGCAGATTGGCTCAAGTGGTAAAACACCTCCCTAGTAAATACCTGAGTTCAAACTCCCGTATCGCCAATGAGTCAACCAACCAATCAACAAATGAAATTCCTAGGCCTGTCCATCCACATAGTCCTTAAAGAATGCGGGCCTGGTTGGGCGCTGGTGGCTCACACCTGTTTGGGAGGATCGCAGTTTGAGGCCCCGGTAAATAGTTCACAAGACCCCATCTCCAAAATAAGCAGAGAAAAACAGACTGGAGGTGTTGTTCAAGCTATAAGAGAGCGTTTTTTGCAAGCACAGAGTTCAAAACCCAGTTCCAGACACACACACACACAAAGAACAGAGGCTTCTAGTAGTAAAATCATGGAATTAACCATTAACAAGATTGTTGGGTCAGTGCTTTTTAATTTTTTTTTTAATAAGATTTTTGTTATGTAGAGTCTTACTCTGTAGCAGAGGCTGGCTTGGAACTCACTGGGTACCCCATGTTGGCTTCAAACTTGAAATCCTCCTGCTTCTTCCCATTGCTGGGATTACAGGTGTTCAGCACCACACCTAAAGGATTTATGTACTTTTTCTCCTATTTTAGAAAAAATCTTAAATGCACTAGTAATTTGTCCAGTATCCATTGTGGTAGATTCACCTGTTTGTAACATTGTATATTTGCTCTTTCCCCAAATAAATACATTACATGGTGAATTGTTAATAAGTATATTGAAAATACATGGAGGACATGACATTTGACACTTAAATACTTCCTAGTACATGTTCTAAAGATAATCTCATTGTCTAACTAAAAGGAAAATTTTATTTCAGTCAGAATTAGAAACAAGTCATACAAGATCTACTCTAAAAAATTCCACATTATAACAAAACAGGCTCATGGATTTTTTTGAATCTAAGATTCATTCAAAGTTTCAACGTTATACTTGGTTATAGCAATAAGGTCTTCAGTTAATCTGCTCTATATATGTAGTGAATAAACCAGCAGCTATTTATTGTATTAAATAGACAGGCATGACTTTCTTTCAGTAAATCTATGTGTCATAGTTTTCCAACACTTAGTCAGTAGACTTCAAGATAATTTGTACATGATGTCTACTTTCAGTTGTATATTATTAGGGAAGCATCCATTTGTATGTCTTGTTAGTTATACTAATTATGATACTTGCTCAAGCCACTTACGGAGCACTGTTTTTTTTTTCTTTTTTGGCAGTGCTGTGATCTGAACTCAGGGCTTTGTACTTGCTAGTCAGATGCTCTAACATTAAATCAAGCCTCCAGCCCACAGCACTGCTTTTTTTTGGGGGGAGGGGGCAGGGGCATTTGCTGGGGATTGAACTCAGAGCCTCAAGTTGGCAAGCTCACTAACACTTGAGCCACGCCCCCAGTCCTCACAGCACTCTTTTGAGACTTTTGTTTTGAACAAGAAATCTGTAGGCTTATACTTTGGCAGCTAGAATGTCTTGCCCCCAGCATGCATTCTTCTCAATTGTTAGAGCATCCTTAAGTAACCTGCCATAACTGAACTTCCCTGTGTGTTTTTTTCACATTTGTGAAGGTGCAGATTCAGGATAAGATTTTGAGATCATGAGGTCTACATCAGAAGGAAAAATGTACATTTATTTTGCTGTACATTAAATTTTTTCCCTTCCTTAAGTCTTGTACCCATATGGCAGTTTCTGAATCAATTTGGTTTTGTAATCCCTTCTCCTGGGGAGATAGAGGTGAGGAGGATCGAAATTAGAGACCAGCCCAGGTTAAAAAGTGAGACCTCATCTCAGCCAACAAGCCATGTGTGATGGTGTTTGCCTGACTTCTAAGCTACATGGGAGGCTTTACACATCTGAGGCCAACCTGGGCAAAAACTCAAGACCCTAAAGACAAAAAAGGGCTGGGGTGTGGCTCAAGTTGTAAGTGTGAGGGCCTGAGTTCAAACTCGGGTACTGAAAAAAAAAAAAAAAAGAAAAAAATTATTCTAGAACAAAAGGAACAGATTTTAGTTTAAACTGCAAGGTGTTCATTTTGAAAAGGAAAATCTGTATCATGTCCGTGTTTGTGGTGGGTAAGGATACACAGATATATTTTAGTAGATAGTATTTGGGTTTATGTTGTGTGGGCTGATCTTTATGAGTCTTATTTGTAATTATGTTTCTGTATGCCTTATGTTTTTACTCTCTCACACTATAACATTTTTGTGGGGAATGGTTATTTTCTGACAATCCACAGGTGATCAATGATTCTTTGATTTCAGTGGCTCATTGCTAGGCTTTGCCAGAATCGTGTGTACAGTGATCATGCAAACACATGTAGTATTCCCACCATGGGGCTTACAATTTATCTAACAAACAGACATACCACTCCCACCCACCATGGAACTTACAGTAAATCTAGGAAGACTATTTTTTGAGGTGCTGGTGATGGAACCCAGGGCCTTGTTCATACTAGGTCATTACTCCACCACTGAGCTACATATCCAGCCCCAGAAGACAGACAGCCCCAGTATTTGAAATGAATACTGGCAGGTTTGTTGTGTAGATTTATGGACGCATTAATATGATGGCCACGACACATTGTTGTGAGAAATTTTAACTAAGAACAAAAGCAGGAGTAAAACTTAATTAGCCAGGTTTTTGAGGTAGAGCAAACACTCTGCCCCTTGAGCCGTGCCTTCATCCCTTTTTGCTTTAGCTTAGAGTCTCAAATTTCCTTCTCTCAGGCCAGCCTAGCTGTGATTGTCATACCCATGGTCTCCCATGTAGCTGTGACCACAGGCACATGCACTATTCCCAGCTTGTGGTTGAGTTGGGGTCTTGCTAACTTTTGTCCAGGTTTGCCTGGAGCAGTGATCTTTGATCTCCTCCTGCTGTATCACTGAGGTTACAGGTGCAAGTCACCACAACCAACAAAATGACTTCTACCCCTTCTGCTAACAAAAAAGGATTTCCACCTGATCTAGTTAAGTCTGCTAGGATAATTTCTTGGGGTTGGTTTGGTTTGTTTGTTTATGATGCTGCAGATTGAACCATGGGCAAGTACTCTAGCACAGAACTATATCCCCAACCAGGTTTTTGATGAACTCAAAACTGATTTGAGGCCTTCTTCACATCTACTGACTCATATCGTATTTGCCATATTCTACTTTCTCCAAAAAAATGAAAGGTCTTACATACACTAAAGGGAAGAGAATTATCTAAGGTCGTGAATACCAGATATGAGGGCCATATTAGCACATGGCATCCAGTGTGTTTGTAGCTCCCTGAGTGGTGGAGGTACTTGCTGGGTTACTCTGGGCCTGAGCCAGTCTATAATCATGAGTTGAGTGTGAAGGAACACGATAGGATACATGGCAACTGCAGTTGTGGGCAGTGTACCCAGGGAGTTGGCATAATTGTCACCACAAAGCCTCAAATGCATGGTGTCCGCCTCAGGAGAGCCATGACAAGTACGCTCCAGGGCTCATGGAATCTGATGCTGGTGACAGGTGTGCAGTCAGTTTGGGAGCTACTGGTGTTCCCACTAGGAGGACTGTGAGAACAAACCCCTAGGGTACAGGTTTATTGTGGGTGGGCACACAGAGGAGTTGGGTTGCTGTGCAGCATGTGCTGTGAAATGTGCAGTCTGTCAAGGGCTTCCTATGACCCAGCATGTAACCAGAGCTGGGTCCTCTGATAATGTCCACCTGCGGGAGCAGTGGCTTCTCCTGGCCCTAATCCCTACATAGATGCTAGGGCACTAGAGGTCACCCCTCTCCCAGACCCCATGGATTGTACAAGAGTTCCTTGGGTTTGACTGGGTGAACGATGAGATTTGTGGACTCTAGGAAGATTGTCACTGTCGTGGAAGTGATGGAGCTCAGTGTAACATTGCTCTTTCATCCCTTAGTCATGATATCCTTAATAAAGAACAGTATACAAGAAACAACACACTTGTCTAAACTTGAGACTGTCATCCTTAGCATTGGATGCTGTGGCCAGCCAGTTGTCCCATTTTTACTACATTGTAAACTATTGAGCAATTGCTAAGAAGTTCCTTCTTCAGAATTAAAAAAAAGATCATTTTTAATTTCACAAGGCCAGGCATGGTGTTTTGTGACTGTAATCCCAGTTACTCAGAAGGTGAAGATAGGAGGATCATGGTGTGAGCTCAACTCCAACAAAAGTTAGTGAGACCCTATCTCAAAAACAAGCTGGGTGTGATGGTACATGTCTGTAATTACAGATGCTCGGGAGCCGAAGGTAGGAGGATCTTAGTCCAGAGTTGGCTAGGGAAAAAGGCTGAGACCCTACCTGAAAAAAACAAAAGGACTCGGGTGTGACTCAAGTGGTAGAGCACTTGCCTAGCAAGCACGAGGCCCTGGGTTCAATCTCCAGTATTGCTTCCCCCGCCCAAAATTTTTGTTCACATGCCTCAAATGTACAGCTACAATATAAAGCCCAGTAAAATACCCCTTATTCCTAGTTACACAGACCCCTTATAACAACTTGTGCTTTTTCTCTTCTCAAAATACACAATTGTAGGGCCTTTGGAAGAGGCATTCAGTAGAACATTCATGTCTCTGATGGGTCTCAGGTAGTGCTTTGAAAGTCAAAATCATCTCAAACAACTTTCAGACTCTACCACAACAAATCCCTAAGTACATTATGTAAAATTGGGTATATTTCCCATTTTACCCACTTCCATAGGACTGGAGGGCAGAGAGGATACATTCTCTTTAGGCACTCCTCAACGATAGATTGTCCCCAAGCAAGGTAGGTGCCCTTCTGGCATGAGACCCACTTAAACCTAACTAACCTTCCTTCAGAAACAGCATAGCCGGGTGCTGGTGTCTCACGCCTGTAATTTTAGCTACTCGGGAGGCAGGGATTAGGAGGACTGCGGTTTGAAGCCAACCCAGGCAAATACTTCTCAAGACTATCTGGAACACAAACTATGGCTGGTAGAGTGGTTCAAGTGGTAGACCACCTGCCTAGCAGGCATGAGGCCCTCACTTCAAACCCCAGTTACCACACACACACACACAAAATCTCATGGCTGGAATATCGTGGTTGGTCTTTTTACCAACCAAACACCTCAGAGTAGGGTTGGATTGGAGATGAGCTCTCTTTTGCTGAAGACAAAGTACCTTTTACACTGAAACCTCATGGTGCCCAGGGACTGCCTTTCTGATGACAAGTTGAACTCAGGACATGTTTTCCTTTTTTCTGAGCTCACTGTCTGCTTGGCTTATGACTCTGCTAAACCATACCCCTACACTTAGGCCTCAAGAAGAACCTGGTAGACAGAATGGTGGGACAGGTCTGTAATCCCAACTCTTGGGAGACTGAGACAGGATGATCAAGAATTTGACTACATAGTCAGTTAAAGGCCACCCTGGACTACATAGACCTTATTTAAAAAAAAAAAAAGGCAAGGTATGGTGGTTCACCTCTGTAATCCTGCTACTCGGAAGGCAGAGGCAGAGGCAGGAGGATCTGGAGTTTGAGGCCAGACCCTGCAAAGTTAGCGAGTTAGCAAAAACAAAGTGGCTGGACGTGTGGCTCAAGTGGTAGAGCACCTGCCTAACAAGCAAGGCTCTGCATTCATGCTGCAGTACCACCAAAATAAATAAATAAAAAGGAAAAACAAAATGGCTGTGGGTATGGCTGAAGTAATAGTGCAAGATCCTGAGTTCATTCCCAGTAATACCAAAAAAAAAAAAAAAAAGAGGAAAAGAAAGAAAACCTGGTGCAAGTTACTAAAACTAATGGAAATTATTGCTTTCCTCAAGAAGCTTCTACCTCTTGTCACTCAACTCCTTAGCTCCCCAGGAAAGGACCACCTGCACTACCTGAAGCCTTTTCCTACTGTGCCCTCCAGCTTTCCCTTGAATACGTGATCATGACCACCACAACCACTCTTTTGTTCTTAGTTACAATACTACCACATTCTCCAAGTGCAGTTTCCTCTTAACAGCACCTTTGGCTTCACTTAGGGTCCAAAGTCACCTGGATTTCACCTTATATAATTTCCTTTCCTGACAGCCCATGTTTTCCTTAATGAAACCACACCCAATGTGCAGTGGTCACACAGGGGAGTCCCATAGTTCTTTTTTCACTGAATACCTCTCTCCATCCTCTGAAGGTTGCTGGACACAAGGGACAATGCAGTAGTTCCCCCTGTGCATGTAGGATAACTTTCTAAGTCTGCTTGGGGATACCAGAAATTGTGGATACAACAGGACTCTCCATATGCTACCTTTTTTTTTTTTTTGGTGGTACTGGGGTATCAGTACAGGGCCACATGCTTTCTAGGCAGGCCCTATACCTCTTGAGCCACTCCGCCAGCCCTCTTTTTGTGTTGGGTATTTTTAAGATAGGGTCTTGCGAGCTGTTTGCCCAGACTGGCTTCAAACCCTGATCTTCCTGATGTCTGCCTCCTGAGTAGCTAGGATTACAGGTGTGAGCCACTGGTACCAGCTACATGCTGTTTTTTCCTAAACATACATACCTATGATTAATTTATATATTTGGCTCAGTAATATATTAACAGTAATAACTAATAAATTGAAGATTTATAACAATATACTGTAATAAAAATAAAGTTGAAGTTAACAACTCTGGAGATAAATTTAAAAAACAATATACTAGCTGGATGCCGGTGGCTCACACCTATAATCTACCTACTCAAAAGGCAGAGATCAGGAGGATCTTGGTTCAAAGCCATCCTGGCCAAATAGTTCCACAAGACTCTTTTCTTGAAAAAAACTTTCACAAAAAAGGGCTGGTGGAAGCAAAACCCCTTGTTCCTTCCTATTAATGCTTATACTGTCTCTACAACAAAATTAGAGATAAGGGGAAAATAGTTTCTGCTGGGTATTGAGGGGGGGGAGCGGGAGGGGGTGGAGTGGGTGGTAAGGGAGGGGGTGGGGGCAGGGGGGAGAAATGAACCAAGCCTTGTATGCACATATGAATAATAAAAGAAAAAAAATAAAAAATAAAAAAAAAAAAGGGCTGGTGGAGTGGCTCAAGGTGTAGGTCCTGAGTTCAAGCCCCAGCAGCACACACACACAAAAGACCCAGAAAAACAATATACTGTAGTAAAAGTTAAATGGATATGGTCTTTCCTCTAAAAATATCTTACTGTGTCCTGTAGTTGCCCTACATGGTTTTTCAGATTGTAGTTGACTGTGAGCTGTAAACTGGCAAGTGAAACCATGGATTTGGGGGATTGCAGTATTTAGTCCTGTGTTGACAGAACCTGCCATGAACACAGAGCCACCAGTGTTGGAAGCAGCTCAGAAGCTTTTGTCAAACCAAATCACAGCAAAAACGCTAAGCATCCCCTTTCAGTGGCTAATTGAAATAATCTTCAATGGCTGTGTGCAACATGGTCTGTTATACAAGCTTGTGAGTTTACAGAGTCCAAATGGAGTGGCTAACAGATGGGCCCCTGCCTAATTACTCACCAGAAAAGAAAGGGTTGTGCCACTCATAGTATCTCCTGCTGTCTGCATATACCTCTACACAGCCACATGCTAAGCTGAGAGGAATCGGCCAAGAAGCAAATGTGTTGTGTAACAGCCAGCATCTTTCAGCAGATTACCTTAGCTGACTGTAGTGGTGCATGCCTGTAATGCCTACATTTGGGAGGCCGAGGCAGGATTATGAGTTTGAAGCCAGCCTGGACTGCATAGGGAGACCTTGTCTCAAAAGCAAACACATTACATGACCTGATTTCTGGTATTGATGGCAAAGCAGAGTGCTTGGTTATAGACTGGGTTCCAACCCTCATCATGTGCCTAACAGGCCACTTCCTGTTGTTGCCTCTCTGAATACACCTGACTGACAGCTCAGTGACTGAGCTGTGGGAGCTCAGTCACTGTCCCGTTCACTGTCTCCATAACCCAGGTGACAAGTGTTACCATTCTCAGTTGAGACTGGCAAAATGTTGAGACACAGAATAGATGGGGGTTGTATCTTTTTTAAATCCTTCTTTTCCTGATTTCTTGACACCTTCACAAGTAGGCTGGAAGCACCTTGACATATGACCATGTGTAACCATAATGTGGTTCCTGTTTGTTCGCTCCTGTGCTTGTAACTTTGTCATTTCAAAAGCACCAAGGAAAGCCATTTCCTGCAGTGATTGTTGGTTTGTAATCCAAGCACTTGGCAGATTGAGGCAGGTAGATTATGAGTTTGAGGCCAACCTGGGCTACAGGTGAGACCCTGTCTAAAAAACAAAACCACCCTTGCCTATGCATTCTACCCTGACTCCAAATAACCATCCCAACAAGTAAGTATTCTCTTGGTTCCCTGTGTCCACAGTACAGTTGACTCCCTTATTGCTCCTCTGTCGTGACCCCTGTGTGGCATGTCATTCCTCCTTCTTAGGAGGATACGTTTATTGATGTATTAATTATCATGATGCTGGGGATCCAGCCCAGGGCCTTGCACTTGCTAGGCAAGCACCTCTACCACTCTATAGCCCAGCCTTAGTAAATCCATTAAATTTCTGTGCCTCTCCAGGTGTGACTGCAGTGGGTGCATCATGGGGGGGGATTATTTCCCTAATTATCACACACTGATGAATGCCATCATTTTTATCTCAAAAGGTAGGTGAAAGCCAGATGTGGTGGTGCATACCTATAATCCCAGCTCATTGAAAGGCAGAGAGAGGAAGATCACAAGCTTCAGGCCAGCAGAGCAAAATTACCCAGACCCTGTCTCAAAAAATAAAACCGAATTCAAACCCCAGTCACACACAAAATGTGTGTGTAATATGTATGTATGTATATACATATATAGAAAGAAAGGAAGGGGGGAAGGAGGAATGAAAGAACCAAAGGATTTGGGGTGTGTGGCTATAGTAGTAGAATGCTTACAAGGTCCTGGGTCCAAACCCCAGTACCAGGAAAAAAGAAGAAATTTAGGTGAGGCTACATGAGTGTGATTATAGGGGGTCTTTTGTTTTTTGTGCTTCTTCACTAATGACTAATATTAACAGGAATGCTAATGCCACTGTGTATTGAGAAATGGCGATGGCCAGTACCCACCGAGATTCATCAGAGGCCCTGAAGTAATGCTGGCATCAAAGGAAGGAGTATTCAGGCCCATTTCCTCCTAACAGAATGGCAGTTGTTGGCTCATCCCATGGTAAGTCCGGTCGGTGCTCTTTTTTTGGAGAGACTGCTCTGATTCCCACTAAACAGTTTGGTGTAGAGTCCAGTGGTCTGGGCCTGAGTAGTCAATTGCTGGTTCATGTAGCAGGGACTGACGTGGGCTGGCCAGAGAGGGCTGTGTGTAAGTCCCCTGGTGTGTGCACCCTGGGGGGAGGCACTGTGAGGTCTCTTCATGAGATTTATCACCATGAGAAGGCATGGTGTAGCAGGTGTGTGTGGGGGGGTATTTCTTCAATGGACATACGGACTTTTGTATTAAGATAGAATGACTTCTGTGGGAGTGAATGTGGGAATTATGGCCAGCTCTGGGTTCTCATGACTCCTTCATGTTCCACAAGGTCTTCTTTCTCAGGATCCAGTGTGCCCTCGGGAAGGAAAAGCACCAGCAGAAAGGATGGTGGCTGGCTGCCTGACAAATTGTTACCAGGTGGAAAGAAAGTGTATCTTTGTCTCAAATGACATACTTCCTTGCATTGGGGAGATGTATTTCCTTCTACACAAACTTGTCTCCAAACTTCTCAAAGCAAATAGAGGCTTATCCTGGGGTTGAGTCCTCTGTTGAATTTACCAAGGGAATGGAGCTACTCATGAAAGAAAGGTGTTTACTTGAAAATTATCCTGGTGTTTCAGTAATTACTAATCAATCTTCATCCCATGGAGCCAGTCATATATATGTTTGTTTATTTCTCTCTGTCTCTCTCTGTCTCTGTCTCTCTCTCTCTCTTTTTGCACTGGGATTTGAACTTAGGCCTTCATGCTTGCTAGGCAGTGTTACCACTGGAGCCCCACCTCTAGTCCTTTTCCTCTAGTTATTCTTTGGATAGCATCTTGCATTTTTGCCCAGGACCAACCTCAGACTGCAATCCCTCTACCTTCGCCTCCTGGTAGCTTGAACCACAGCCATCACTCCTGGCTTGTTGGTTGAGATGAGGTCTTGCAAACTTTTTGCCCAGGCTGGACTCAAAACTACAATCCTCCCAACATCTACCTCCTGAGAAGCTGGGATTACAGCTGTGAGCCACCACACCCAGCTCTATTGTATGTTTCTTATTTTGCTGGTTCCTCTGACAGATGATAGTGGACATGAAAGTGTCCTTTTCTCCAAGAATGAATTGTTTTACTAGCATTGATCAAGTGCCTGGAATGTGCTGAACATGGACACAAAGAAATAAGTCAAGATTTTCTGCTCTGGCTGTTTTGAGATGAACTCATATTCAGAAAGTACCATAGGCCTTGAGAAGATTGAGCTAGTGAGTTTAGATAGAGAGAGGTTTGTAGAGCCTTTGATCCATGGTATAGATAATTGGAGACTCTGGAACACTGTGTAGACATTGTGTCCCCTGTCCTCTATCTCCTGTGAACATGGAGATGTTACTTGGCTTATAGCAGCATGTCTGCCACACTACAGGAGTCAGTGAACTTTGATGATGTGGCTGTGGACTTCACCCAGGAGGAGTGGACTTCCCTGGAACCAGCTCAGAGAATCCTGTACAGTGATGTCATGCTGGAGAACTACCAGAACCTGGCCACAGTAGGTAGGACCACCATCTTCATTGTATCCTCTCATGGACTTACTGTGTCACAGGATTGGTGATGTTAACCCTGACTATAGTGGGAAATAACAGAGACATAGGCCCTGCTGATACAGATTTCACTTACTGTGATGGTGTCACCATGTCCAAGGTCAACAACAACTCTGTCAGTCTGATAGACGCTGCCTCTGATGGGCTGAATCAGAAACCTAAGCATGAAGCCCCTCATCTGTGGGTCAGTAAGTACTCAGTGCCTCTATGTGGGAACTACTGGTGGGATGTGACTTAGTGGTAGAGCACTTGCCTGGAATGCACAAGGCCTGCAGGGAAATAAGTCTTACTGCTTTGTAAATGTGTATACAAGACTGAATAGGGGTTTTGAGAGAAAGAGATAAGCAAACTTTGAGGCACAGACAGAGGGGTTTTTATGACTTTCAGGCTTTTTTCTGAAATAATTTCACTGCTTTAATTGAACTCTCATTCCTGAATCCCACAAAGGTCTCCTGAGCCTTGTCTTTTAATCTGTCTTTCCTTTACGTAGGGTGTCAGCCCTTCAAACCCAGTCTGATCTCTTGGTTGGAGCAGGAAAAGTTGGAGAGAGGTCAGAGAAGAGTTCTCCAAGGTGAGTTTTTGTGAAAAACAACCCTGATTATGAAAAACTGAGTGTGTTCACAACTGTAGCAAGGAAACTTTTGAAGGTGAAACTTATTCACAAGGCTAAGGTCATTTTTCTCAGAAGTTAGGAAATCTTTTACTTCCAGTTCAGTTACTTTATTTATACTGGAACTTTTCTTTAGCTTTCCCCCATATTTCCTTTCTTTCCCTGATTTTTTTTCTGGTCACCATCAATTTTAATTTTCATAGATGCCATCCTTAACTTTGACCAATTTTTTGACATAGAGTCTTCTCCAGGCATAGTGCTGCTTGCCTGTAATCACAATACGTAGGAATCTGAGGCAGGAGGATTGAGGATTCAAGTTTCATCTGGGATAAATAGCAATACCCTGTCTCAACGACAACCCCCAAAAAATCCAGGAGCCAGTGGCTCATGCCTGTAATCCTAGCTCCTTGGGAAGATGACATCAGGAGGATCAAAGTATGAGGCCATCTCAGGAAAATAGTCTATGAGAACCTGTCTCCAAAATAAAAGAGTAAAATGAACTGGATGTGTGGTTCAAGTGATAGAGCACCTGTTTGGAAGTGTGAAGCCCTGAGTTCAAATCCTAGCTTACCAAAAAAAAAAATGGTAAACCCAAAGTTCTCAAATATCTTTCTGCTTTAACCTTGGTTAATTTGAAAACAAACACAAGTGAACTTTGTGTTCTTTTACTCCTTCAATATTCCATTACTTTCTCCAAACCCTTGCATTTGTTTTTCTTGTTTTACTTCAGAATTGGAAGTACAGTTTGAAACCAAATGGTTAGAATTTCAGCAGGAATTCTCGAGAAGCAACACATTCAATGGGATACAAATGGTAAGAATAAGAAGAAGTGCCGGGCGCCAGTAGCTCTTGCCTGTAATCATAGCTACTCAGGAGGCAGAGATCTTGAGACCCTATCTCAAAGAAAACTTCACCAAAAAAAAAGGCGGGGGGGGCTGGTGGGGTAGTTCAAGGTATAGGCCGTGAGTTCAAGCCCCAGTAACACACACACACACAAACAGTAAAAAGTATATCTTTTTTTTTTTTTCTTTATTAGGTACTGGGGTTTGAACTGAAGGCCTCATGCTTGCTAGGCAAGTGCTCTGCAACTTAGTCCACACTTCCACCCTTAAGAAGAGGTATATCTTATTTTTTAACCTCAGAGAAGATTGATCTGGGATTGTAGTTCTGGCAAAGTGCCTGCTTAGAGTGCCAAGGTCCTCGGCTTGATCTCTAGCACTGCAGAAAAGCAGAAAAGAAAAGAAAATTGGGAATTACATTATATAAAATCATCAAAAATACCCTGGCAGCAGTGACTCATGCCTGTAATCCTAGCTATTTGGAAGGCTGAGATCAGGAAGATCAGGGTTGAAGACCAGCCCAGGCAAATAATTTGTAAGATGCCCATCTCTGAAAAATAAGCAGAACTAAATGGACTTGGATGTATGGCTCAAGCAGTAGAGTTCCTGCTTTGGAAGCTCGAAACCCTGAGTCAAACCCCAGTTCCACCCCCCCCCCCAAAATCATCAAAATAAAAGGTGTTTGACACAAATGGATATATGTAAGAAGGAATATCTCCGAAGAGATACTCTGAATCTAATGAATCTATAGTAAAATTTACTGCTTCAGAGTTCTTACAAATTATACATTCTTATGTATGCAGTTAACATTTGGTGAGGTTTTTTTTGTATTGGGGTTTGAACTCAGGGCTTTGTACTTGCTAGGCAGGGCACTTGGGCCACACCTCCAGCTCATTTGATTTTTAAAAGTATTTCTTGGAACCGTAAAGAAATCTTTTTAAGATCAGAATAGACTGCAGGGGAGGATGTTGTGGCCAATCTAACCAATATACAATGTGAGGCTGTTGTGAATTGGCACAATGAATCCTCCCTGTGCAATGAATGTATGCTAATAAAAACAAAAAACTAAATAAATAAAAAGGAAAACAAGATTAGAGTAGATAGGGATGGGGTTGTAGCTCAGTGGTCAAGATCTTGCCTAGTATGCACGAAGCCCCCTACTGCCACCAAAGATTATAGTGAAGATGGCATGGCATTCTGGGGTAGGTGTTTAATTATACCACTTGAACTTCCTTCTTTTTTTTTTTTCCCCGTGGGACTGGGGCTTGAACTCTTGTACCCTAACCCGTGAGCCACACCTCCTAATCATATCACTCGAAAGAAAGAAATCAAGAGAACACAAACTGAATGCATGTAATGAAAAATCATAATCACAATTTTTTTGTCAGATGGTTGTAATCTTACCAGTTTGCTTCAGAAAATTATTTAATCATCATTCATCCCTCTTACCACCAGGCAGAAGGCCACAATGGAGGGGAACTCTGTGACTGGAAGCAGTATGGAGAATTGTTCAGTAAACACTCATGCCTCAATACACACATGAATACTAAAAGTACAGGGAACACTTATGATTGCAATCAGCATGGAAACGACTTCCATCCTCTCCATAAGAAAACCTCTACTCTCGAGAAACTTTCTGAGTTTAGTCAGAGTGAAGAAATCTTCATGACACCAGATATTGTTTACCAGAAAATTAGCGTAGAAGAGAAATCCTATAAATGTAGTGACTCTGGGAAGTCCTTTGTTAATCAATCACACATTCAGACCCACGAGAGAACTCACAATGGAGATAAACTCTATGAATGCAAGGAACATGGGAGAAGTTTTATAAACTCTACAAACCTCGCTGTGCTTATAGAGACCCTCAATGCAAAAAAACCTTACAGATGTAAGGAATGCGGAAAAGGCTATAGATACCTTGCATACCTAAACATTCATATGCGCACCCACACTGGGGAGAAGCCCTATGAATGTAAAGAGTGTGGGAAGGCCTTCAATTATTCCAACTCATTTCAAATCCATGGAAGAACTCACACTGGAGAGAAACCCTATATATGTAAGCAGTGTGGAAAAGCCTTCACTCAGTACTCTGGCCTTAGTATCCACATGCGGTCTCACAGTGGAGACAAGCCCTACAAATGTAAGGAATGTGGGAAAACCTTCCTTACATCCTCACGCCTCATTCAGCATATCAGAACTCACACAGGAGAAAAGCCTTTTGTGTGTGTCAAATGTGGGAAAGCCTTCGCTGTGTCCTCAAATCTTAGTGGACATTTGAGAAGTCACTTCGAAGAGAAGACCTGCAAGTGTAAGATATGTGGGAAAGTTTTTGGGTATCCCTCATGTCTTAATAATCACATGCGAACTCACAGTACCCAAAAGTCATACACATGTAAGGAATGTGGGAAGGCTTTTAACCATTCTGCTCACCTTAAAATCCACATGCGAATCCACACTGGAGAAAAGCCCTATGAGTGTAAACGGTGTGGGAGAGCCTTCAGTCATTCCAGTTCATTTCAAATCCATGAAAGGACACACACTGGAGAGAAGCCCTATGAGTGTAAGGAGTGTGGGAAAGCCTTCACATGTTCCAGTTCCCTTAGAATTCATGAAAGGACTCACACTGAAGAGAAACCTTATAAATGTCAGCAATGTGAGAAAGCCTACAGTCATCCTCGTTCACTTCGAAGACATGAAAGAACTCACCAGTGAAAAGTACTGTCCATGTAGGCAATGTAAGAATAGTCCTCATTTGACCCAATGTTTTTTAAAGACATGAATAAACTCACACTGGAAAGAAACTATCAGAATTATTTCAGCAGCTTGGCACTGTAGGGTATATCTATAGTTCTTGCTATATGGGAGGCTGAAGCAAGAGGATTACAAATTTGAGATCAGCCTGGGAAGCATAGTAAGACCATTATCTCAAAAAACAAATTAAGCTGGAGGCATGGCTCAAATAGTAGAGTGCTTGAGTTCTAGCATGAGGCCCTGAGTTCAGTGCCCAGTACAAAAAAAACCACATAAAAACCCCACAGTACTATTCATACATGGGGATTCTTAATAATGATTCCAACTGCATTAACATCTATGAACAAAATACTTGAAGGATAAAAAAACCTTGAATCTGGGTATATTTGTTCAGTCTTGTATTTAAACATTGTTGAGCAGCGTGTGGCAGGGTATATCTGTGGTCTCAGGTACTCAGGAGGCTCAGGCACAAGAGTCACTCAAGCCCATAAGTTGAAAATTAGCCTGGACAACATAGAGAAAAACTTGGGTTCCTCCCAGGATTTTTGTACCAGTCTTTAATATGCTGGTCTTGGCATTTTATTCCTACAGAAGCCAGGTTCCTGTCATCTTCCCACATCACGTCTCTGTTGAGGATCTTTTGAAAATGATCCAGCAGAGTCCACTCTTCCTGGGTGAAGTTCACAGCCACATCCTCAAAGATCACTGTGTCCATTTCAGGGCTTATGAGGCAGCGGTGTCTGCACTAGTGCTCCTGTGCAAGTCAGAGTGGTATGGAGACTCAGTACAACCACTAGAGATCCTTAGGAACATGACAAACCTAGTCAGGCACTCTACCACTTGAGCCACACCCCAGTCCATAGCAAACCTTGTGCAATGTAATGCATTTTCCTCCTCTGGCTTTCAAGATTTTTCAGAATTTCTTGTAAGGATTTTTCCATTATCTTTGCTATTCTGTAGTCTAAAATTAGGTGCCTGTGTATGTGTGTGTGTTGTTTGCTTTTTATTTATCCTGCTTGGTGTTCTCTGAGTGTCTTGTGTCTGTCTTTTGGTGTCTGACATGACTTTTGTGAAATTATCATTGTTTCAAATATTTCTTCTATTTCTTTCTCTCATTATGTTTTAGAATTCCTGTGATTCATGTGTTACATCTTTTGTATTTGTCCCACAGGTTTTTTTTTTTTTTTGGTGGTACTGGAGTTTGACCTCAGGGCTCACACTTGCTAGGCAGGTGCTCTACCACTTGAGCCACTCCATCAGCCCTTTTCTGTGTTGGGTATTTTTGAGATGGGGTCTTATGAACTATTTGCTAGAGATGCTCTAGCATCTCTTTTTTTATTCTTAGAGTTTCCATCTGTCTTCTTATACTACCCATCTGTTCTTGGATGCTGCCTACCCATTAGGACTCATAGCTTATTGTCATAATTGTTTTAGAATTTTAATCTGATCATTTCAACATCCCTGCTATATGTGGTTCTGGTGCTTGCTCTATCTCTTCAAACTGATTTTGCCTTTTAGTATGCCTTGTAAATTTTCCTTGGTAGGTGGACATGACATACTGGATAAGTAGTCTGTTAGTGATATGGTATAAGGTGTCAGGAGAGAGGAAGCAGATATTGGTTCAGCATTAGATCTTAGAGTTTTAATGAGTCTATGTGTTTGGACTGCACTACACAACTTCACAGGTTTTTGTACCCCTCCCCCCCAGCCCTCCTTAGTTGGTCAGAATTACTAGAACTGGCTGCATTTGGTTATTTCCCTTCCCCTATGTTATTGAGGCTCTGATAAAACTCTTTAACAGAACTAGTTTCTTCCTGGTCTTCCATTTCCTGGGATAAAAACTGACAAAATCATGGGGACTGCTATGGCTGGATTTAACTCTCATTGTAGTCCACACCTAGCCTTCAACAACTCTGCAGTTACCTCCTACTCTGCCACTGGTTCTGCTGTAAAGGGATGTGATTCTCTGATTGGTCTCTGATCTGGGGGTTGAGAACAGCTTTCCCTATGACCTCATTTCTTTTCTGCATCTAAGAAGAGGCATTTCTTTCAGGCCATTCAACTTTTACCTTCCTAGGACCAGTTGATAACTTCCAAGCTCATTACATGGGAGCTCAAGTCTGTACATATTCTAAAAATGCCTTCATCAGTGCCAAGCCTTGCTACATGAACATCCATCCACTATATGAGTTCACAGTGGACAGAGCCCTGTGGATGTAAGGAGGGTTGGAAAGCTGAGAGACAGTGGCACACCCCTGTAATCCTAGCTGCTTTGGTAGCAGAGGCATGAGGATTGCAAGTTTGAGACCAGCCCCAACAATTAGCAAGACCCAATCTCAAAAACAAAAAACACCAGGCATGGTGGCTAAACTTCTACCTACTTGGGAAGCTGAGATCAAGAAGATTTATGTTTAAGGCCAGTTGGGGCAAATACTTTGGAAGGCCCAATCTATAGAATAACTAGAACAAAAAACACTGGAGGTATAGCTCAGACAGTAGAGCACTTTCTTTGCAAGCACAAAGCCCTCAGTTCAAACTGCAGTGTCACAGAAAAAAAAAAAAAAACACAATCAAAAACAACAGGGCTTCTGGGTGCCAGTGGCTCATTCCTGTAATTCTAGCTGCTCAGGATGAGAGATCACGAGTACTGTGGCTTGGAGCCAGCCCAGGCAAATAGTACTCAAGACCTTATCTCAAAAAAACCCATCACAAAAAAAGGGTTGGTCCAGTGGCTCAAGGTGAAGGCCCTGAGTTCAAAACCCAGGACCGCCAAAAGAAAAAAAGAAAATCTGGGGGACATGGCTCAAGTGGTAGAGTTCTTGCCTTTCAAGCATGAGATTCTGAGTTTAATTCAGTAACACAAAAATAAAAAAAGTCTAACCAAGGCATGTGGTTTCTTGACTTGTACATGTCTGCTAATCTTCCCTGTGGAGGGGGAATTTTTTTTTTTTTTTTGCAGTGTCGAGGATTGAACTGAGGGCCTTTCACATGCTTCACCAGCACTCTATCTACACACTTACTGACACTCCCTAAAATTTTTCATCTGATTTGATAATCTCCAAAGTGTTTGGTAAATCAGTTAAATCATCAGGTACCACAGGTCTGTCTCTAAATTGCTAATGTAAAGACTCTTACGGGTCCCCAGGAGGAGGTATGGTTGCCAGGTCTTGGCCCTGTCTTTCTGTTGCTTTCTGATAGATAAGAACTTGTGTGTGTGTGTGTATGAGTATCACTCATGGTGAGCCAAAGTATCAGCTGTGTCAAGGCATTGGTACAGGGTATGAAGATCTGATGATAGGAGAGCTGGCCTGTAATCTGGGGAGAGGTGGAGACTCCTTGTAAAAATAGGTCTTTAGACTCAGAGTCCAGAATGGAGAGAGTGGGCCTCAGGGTTAGAAACAGTCTGTGGGGTATTGGGGTCCAAGTGCTCAACAAAGTAATAGAATATGCCATGTGCAGTGGTACACATCTGTAGTCCTCACTACTCAGGAGGCCTGGCCCAGGAGTTTGAGGCCAGGCTGGGCAACATAGTAAGACTCCATCTAAAAAAATGCAGGCATTGTATCATGCCAGTTTTACAGGGGAGAGTGCAAGCTCCCCAAGGAGGCATCTGTCTTAGCATAGTCACAGCAATGGTGGCATGAACCCTTTTCCATGCCATAAATATCCAATGCAATAAAAGAAGTGGTTTTGAGTCCCTCCTGGGGATGACTTTTGTGTTAGCATCTTTCTGTCCATGTGACAGAAGAACTTAAAAAGTTTATTTTGGGGTTTCAGTCCGTCGTTGCTTGGTTCCATTGCTTTTGGGCCAGTGACAGGCAGTACGTCATGGCATGAAGCACATGGTGCCAGGAAGCAAAAGAGCAAGGAAAGGGTTTCAGTAATCCTGTGCTACACTACCACATGACCTAGCTTACTTCCACAAGGCCCCATCTCCAAGAGGTTCCACCACGTCCTAATGGTGCTATAGGCTGGGAACCTAGCCTTTACCATGTGACCTGTGGTAGACATTTCAGATCCAAACCATAACCCTCTGCACCCTTTCTACTTCTCTTTTCATCCGTATCACAGCCTTTCCCTCCCTTACCCCCAGGGATGGCAGTTGTGAGGAAAGCCCTCCTATTTTGTGCAAGCATTCATTATGGAGGACTTGGGGGATCCCATAAAAGGCAGTAACTTTGGGGTCTCATGCTCTCATTTCCTGGGCAGAAAGCCATAGTTTTGAACCCCATGACAAAGACCCTAAACGCCAACCAGCCCTTTCTTCATTGTCTCTTTGAACAAAGTCTTCTAAGTAGTCTGCATGTGGATAAAGCTTTTAGTCTTTTTTCTTTTTCACTCTTCTGTGTGCCTCCTATCCTTTCTACCCTCTGGATGGTTTCCAGATAAAGGCCTGGTGGCCCCAAGTGAACCTATATATTCTTTTCCCTTATCCCCTTATCAAATTTGGAGACCCTAGTATTGGTCCCAAAGCCCACCAGGTCAGGACAGTGAGCAACAGATGGAAGGAACAACATTGTAGCCACCAGACCCAATACTTTTTCCCAAGGTATAATATCCAGTGCTGTGAAGGGGGCCTCCATGCTAGCTGTACAGAACACCCAGGCTTCCAGGTGATCTCTTCGTAGTCTCAAACTGTTCAAACAAGAAATTAGAATTTGCCTAACACATGCCTGGCTGCTTGCTGATGATGCCTCATCTATGTCACATCACTGCCATGGCACAAGAGGACTGTAGTCTAGCTCTACTCCCTTCAAGAGTCCCTTTTAAGAATGATATGTAGGCCAACACACACACAAAAAAAAGGGTTGGTGGAGTGGCTTAAGGTGTAAGCCATGAGTTCAAACCCTAATACTGCAAAAAAAAAGAAAAAAAGATTTGAAGTTATCTTAATTTCCCACATGTTTTTGGGTGAGCTAAGATTTTCTGGGAAATAGCAAATAGCTGCTGGGCATTTTGTAGGTGTTAAGGTATTAGTTTACAGAGCTAAAGGATGGTTAGCATATACTGACATAAGGTTAGAAAGAG